AAATAAAATAAAATACAAAAATAAAAGATAATAAAAATATATACAAAGCGATGCCGATAGACTCCATACAATCTCGTTCTAGGAACTTCGCACAACAATAACATTATTGTTTACCTGTTAAAAAACTTAATAAACAAATAAACTTGTTAATAGTCTTGTTAAAATATTTTCAATTTTGTTATAACATGAAATTATAGCAAATAATTATTGTAATAAAATAAATAAAATTTAAAGAGAATTTAAAAGTATTTAATAAAGTAAATTATATTTACAGTACTTAAATAATTCAATCAATTAGCAATACTTTCTTCTAATTTAAAAAAAAAAACAGGAGAATATATAACATATATATATATATATTTTGTGTTTATGATTTTGGAAAAAACTGGAGACGACGATTGCCATAACTTTTTCGTTAATAGTATATATAATACAACATGATCACAAGCGTGATTAATATGATATATACATATATATATATATATATATTTAATATAATTCTTATATTTCTATTTTATTTGTTTTAGAATTACTAAATTCTTAATTCAAATATAAATATTCATTGCTGTACTGTACTTTAAGCGATAGTTGGTTCACCCCAACAGTTATGGTAAGGTATTCCTCTTCAGCAGAACACAGTTGAGATTGCTGGTGGGATATTTAACGGGTCACCATGGACTGCGTTATCACCTTAATAAAATAGGTCTATCCGAAGAGATGGAGTGTCGATTCTGCTTAGAAGCACACGAGACTTCCAGTCACATTTTCTGTGACTGCCCGCCTTGATCTGGGCCAGCAGGAGATCACTGGGAGGAGAGCTGCTCTCCCCTTCTGATATTAGGAGGTCCTCAGCGGACGACATTTTGGCCATCATTCGGAAGACGGAATGTCTTCTGTTCGGTTAGGGTCTGCTGCTAGTACCCCGTTTATTCCTATCCTATACTATAAACAATGACTGGTTACGGCAATGATTGGAGTAGTTGTCCCCGACTTTTTTTTAAATATATAACTACAAAAAAAATATATATTTTTATATAGAAATATGCAAAAATTATCAGAATATAAAAATAACTCATTTTATTAATAAATATTTATGAAAATAAACAAATTTTTAAAAAAAAAATATTTAAAAAGAAATGAAATAAAAATAAAAAATAAAGGAACAAATTAAATAATTTATGAGTTTGAGGTTGATAAAAATAAATACCAAAAAAAAAAAAATTATAATTAAAATTGCAACTAATTAAAAATATATTCCATAAAAACAAGCTCAAATTAAGAATAATAAGAATGTAGTAAGAAATTCATTTTTAATATCAAAAGCGGTAATAAGAAATTGTTTAAATATTATCAGCGGTCACCACTGATGATACATGTCTAGAGTTATCCGTAACATCTGTATAATCAGACAAAGAATTGAGCTGTTAAAACTTTTTTTAATTATTAAAATTTTCTATTTCCTCCTTTTTTATTAAAATAGTAATATTTTTAATAAGAGAAAGAGAGAGAGCGACAGACAAAGAGAGAGAGACAGACAGAAAGAGAGACAGAGAGAGAAAGTGTGAGAGAGAAAAAGCCTTTAGGCATGTAATGGGCATTAACAGAGTGGATTTAAGAGGTGATCAAAGAAATAGGAATTGGTTATACTTGTTTAAAATTAATTTTCCATAAAGATAATTTTTATTCAAAAATGAGTCAAAGAATCACAGATACTTTTCAATTTCAAAAAATAATTTAAATTTTTCTCTCAATCAAACATATCACACGATATTAATAAATATATTTCTATAATACTCTCTATTAACGATAATATATATACCATTTTCACTGTTCTACTATATCACTTCCAGTCTATTAAACCCCTGAACACTTTTTAATTGGCAACAATTCACAAAATTACAATAATAATTTATATTGTATTAGATATTTTAATATTAATAATCATTTTCAACATAGTTTGTGCGAAATAAATTTGTTTTTATAATTTGATGATGAGGTCAGATCTATTCATATATAATAAATAGACCAACGCCTCAGCTTCAAAGTATTTATCCACGCGCATTTTATTGTTTTGCAAGAGACACATCGTTTCAAGTTTTTTTTTATATAAAATAGTTTGACTTTTTTTTTCTTTTTATATTGTATATATTATTTTTGTTGTGTTTGTCCATAATAATTGGCTCTGGCATTGTCTTATACATTGTGACCGAAAGGTTTTCGGAGGTTCTCATTTAAAATTCGCGCGCTGTATATTTTTCGATATTTTAAGTTTATGTAGTTTGGCAGCACTGTCCTTAATTACTATGCCAAAAATGAGCGCGATCTGTCAGACAGTTCGTTTACGGCAGCTGTTGAAACCAGTTCACCTCAGTAGTGCGTTGCGAAAAAAACAATGGAAAAAAATATTGAACAAAGAGTTTGCATCAAATTTTGTTTTTCGAACGAAATTTCGTGTGCAGAATCGTTGCGAATGCTACAAAAGGCTTATGGGGAATCAGTTTTATCGAAAACTCAAGTTTATGAGTGGTACAAAGCCTTTCAGGACTGTCGTACGACCGTCGAAGACATGCCGCGTTCTGGACGACCTTCGACCTCTACCACCGACGAAAACATTGAAAAGGCAAAGGAAATCGTGTTCAAAAATCCTCATGTGAGTGTTAGAGAGATAGCACGAGAGCTAGGCATCGGTCGTGAGATGGCTCGTTTGATTTTGGTGGACAATTTGTGTATGCGACGTGTCAACGCCCGGCTTGTTCCGATTCACCTCAATTTGTTCAACATTATCAACGATTTTAAGGCCAAACATTCAATAAATACCATCGAACAGCCACCGTATTCACCTGATCTTGCACCGTGTGACTTTTTCCTGTTTCCCAACCTCAAATTACCACTCAGAGGAACGCGTTTTGAATCCATAGAAGACGTAAAACAGAATTCGCAGAGGGAACTCAAAGCCATACCGGAAAGCGCCTATAAAAAATGTTTTGATGATTGGAAGAAACGTTGGCATTTGTGTATCGCTTCTAATGGAGCATATTTTGAAGGAGATAAAATAAATATTGATGAAGATTAAGAATTTTGCGTTTTATTTATTTATGACCGGAAACTTTTCGGTCACAATGTATATACACAATAAATACTTCATATATATTATCTATTCAATTTCTTTCAAAATTTAAATATGCCTGATACGTTTTGTTAAATAATAAAACGTAAACAAGAGAGAAAAAATTTGTTTTTTTTTTTGAATTTTTATATTTAATTAAATTTTATTTAAAAATTCATGATTGTCACTCAAACTGCAATGTTTACGTCACAACAAACTTGTTAACTAAACCGTAAAGATTCGTGATATTTGAAGAAGAAGTTATTAACAACTTTTAAGTTTGAAGATGAACTACTTTCAACTGGGAAGATCTGTCTTTAATTATTTATAACGAAATTTATAACGAAAAAATGCATTAATTTAAATTAATCAAAATATTAGCTGTAGACAATAAGTCTAGCAATTTTTTTCATAATTTAATTAAAAAATTAAAGAAAAATTTTCCAAAAACGGGGTCGCTTGAACCAAATCTTATTTTTCTTCTTTGCTTGGATGAAACGCAAGTTAGTGACTAAAGCACTTTTACTCAATAGTGTCAGTGACTATTTAGATCAATGATTTACAACTTTTTTTAACAAGGTCCACTATTATAGTTTTGTTTTCAATAGAGACTACAAAGTTTATGAATAATAAACTGTATGATTATTAGATTACAGGCATAGGTTATAATTATATGGGCCGTAAACTATGTATATAAGTACTTAGAAATTTTTTGTGCTTATTTTTAAATAAATGAGGTGTCATATCAAACTATAAACTATAAATCCATACCTGTTAAATTTGATTCAGGGATCATTATTAACTATCTTGTAGATCACCTGTGGTCCACGGATGTCCGCTTGGAAATCACAGCTTTAGAGCTCCATTGAATTGTGAGCTATATTTTGAAACCCAGCATATCTTTCTGACGGTATATATATTGCATTAGAAATGAAAGAGTGCAATTCTGAATAAATATGAACAATTTTAGCGCTCTGTCTTTTACATACTTTTGCAGGCTCTCAAGAATTTGTGTATCTCTTCATTTATAATGTACCATGGAGCTTTTAGTATATTATACTGAGAATAATATTCTGATAAGCTTTTTTTTTCTTTGCATTTGTATACAGAAAACTTTTATAAAATGAAGTCAGTATCTAAAAATAAAAAAATAAATAAATGAAATAAGTTAGCTATATAAAACAGAATAAATAATTATTAAAATAAATGTAATATAAAATTATACAAATTTAAAATTTATTTTGTCCATATTAAATGCAATTCTACACTGAGTTTTACAGTCAGCTAATGCTTCAGTAAGAGAAGATCTATATTCTAATTTATTGAGGAAATTTGAGTCAAAGGATCAATAGAACAATAGATCTCTATGCGAAATCTCTTAACTATACGGGTATAGTGAGGGCATAAATTTGCTCGGCTTACACGACACAAGCTGCCACTGCCATCTATCTATAGTACCGATCTAATTAATGAAATTAAAATAATATATGTGCTGACTTAAATGTAAAAAATATAATAGTTCTGTTTTTAAGCAGAAAAATTTTAGAACACTAAAAAATATGAACAAGAAAATTTTTTTTAATGTTAATTTTTTCTTGCCGATAGTGGCGCGTCTTTATGACGAAAAGAAACTATTTAAAAGTTAGACGGATTCGAATAGCAAAGTAATGACAAAGACAAAAATTTATTTAATTTATTGAAATTTTTCAATTTTTATTTTAATTCCATTTATTTTTTGGTTAAGCATAAAATTGCTTTAAATATTGCCTGATACCCATTATTAGTGATCTTTGAAAATTGTTATGGCTATTTTCAGTTTAATATTTAGTTTTAAACAAAACAAATCAACAATATTATATTAATATATTTAAATTTAATTTTTATTTATTCATAGGTGCCGATCGTCCGCATATTGTTCGTAGCTGTTACTTTGGTGATGTCTCCCATTCCCAAACTGGTTGCCAGAGTGATCCATCATTGCCTTTCAACAGACAATTGGCTTGTGATGTTTGTGCCGGCGATTTGTGTAACGGTTCCAGCACTACCGGACCTATCGCATTGGCTGTCATTTTATTCTTTGCATTGGCACGCATTCTTTCTTAAGTAATTACGCCTATAAATTCAGCAAAATTCATTCCCGCAATTCCAGCGCTTATTAAATTTTTATTCAAAATTTTCCTAAAAATCAAGAACTTTCGTTCTAAAAATTTTTATTTTCACTACATTTAAATTATTAAATATATTTTGCTGTTATAAATATTTTTATTTATATATTTATCATACATTTATAAAACAAATGAATAAATACAAAAAATTTTGGTTGGTTGCTAATTTCAGAACGTTCTCCTGAAATATAAGTTAATTATTATTGTAATTATTTTTTATAATATACTATTTCCATGTACAATTAATATATATAAGATCCATAATAAAGTGTGTATTTAAATGCCATTGTTCTTTGTTTTTTTGTTATTAATATTAATGTTGAAAAAATATAAAATAGTTTAGATAGTCAGGAGATTGGAGCAAAGGTTTATCGTAACAGCTGGTAATAACATGGATGCAGATATATATAGAAATGTTAGTGAAATCTAACCAAATTCAAAGTATTTATTTCAAGGAACCATATCATAGCCGGTGCGCTACTGTTCTACAAAATTGAGGCTTTATTCTCATATAAGTCGAAAATTTGGAAGCTCAGTAAAAACCCTTTCTTCTAGCCGCATTTAAAAAGGAATATTTTAGCGCAAATTTTAGGGTCTATACGTAAGGAATACTCATACACTCTAGAAATACGAAACATGTAGTATGCTATACATTATTATACATGACATGAAAAACTACTAATTGCAGATTTTGCACTAGATATAACATAGTAGATGTAGTGTATGTTGCTTAAAAAAAAAATAAAAAATAACTTTCCAACGTAGTCTGTAACTTAAGTATCATTAAATGAGCCTTTTGGGAAAATCATTTGTGTTGCTGATTTTCTAGTAGATTTCAGTAAATTAAACCATGTCTGCGCTCTAAAAATTAACTATTGTTTATGGCTCTAGTCTTGACATTCTTGAAGAAGATGTACTTATAGAACTTGTGTAGGTTAGCTTATATAGGTTATACCGTCGATCTCTGGTGTATGTACTTAGGTCTATTGGCCCATTGTGTTACAGTATATAGGAATAACTCAGGACTTACAACTACCTAGAACGTTTGGTGAAGCTTAAAATGTTATTTGGTGTAAAGTCTAGTAATTGGTCAAGATTCTCAAGAAAAGGAGCTCCTAACATATAAAATAGCCGCCGTGCGTCTAGGTACTCTCAACGTCTTTCTCTACAGCAGCGACAGGTTTGATTGAAGTGGAGATTCAATCTTCTGTCATGGTTCTCTAGTTTGCAGTGGCTTGTAAGTAAATCTACCAGAAGACTGATGCCGCTACAGCGCATCTCTATGAGAATTTTGGATTTTCTTTAAGCGGAAAGTGGCCAAATTGCATACAGATGCCTACATATCCTTGTGTCTTCCCATCTATTATTAAAGAACTTGTCTAAGTGAAAGGGAACTTTACCTAAAAAATATATGATATACGGCAGTTAGGTGGATCATGCCTACGGTAAAAAAATAAACTGTTTATTATTGCTCTTATTGACAATGCTTATGTCAGTTACATTGGTAACTGAAAGATGGCTTTTGTAGCCTTTCTTATTAACAAAGACATCGAAGCTAAACGCTATTTATAAACGCTATGCAGACATAAGTCCTAGCATGATAATTTACCTATACTAAGTTAATAAAAATATTTTTTAACAGATTAATTGAAAGCTATTAAGATCAATATTTATATGAACCAGTAAATGAAATGAAATATATCATAACATAATGTAATGAAATGGGTTATGGGTTAGGCTAAGGGCTTTTCTTTCAAATGTTATAAATTTTTAGCTTCACGAAATTAAATGATATATCTTAGAGACATACATATGTGATTGCCAAGAGATGACCTCACTATAGATAGCTTTTTCTGAAAAGTTTCTCATTGCTCCATAGAAACGAAACAAAGTAGTAATTTTGAACATATTTTAAGAGTTAAATTTAAATTATATCAATGTAAAAGAAATCATATTCACGAAAATATATAAATAATAAAATTTTATAAATAAAAACAAAAAGTGGTCATGAAGTGTATGAACTTGGTTACGACAGTTTGAAAGTGACTGATATACAAGTAAAAAATAATGAAAAAGCTTTTATCGTTCTTATAAGCTTTGCGAAATAAAACTGTAAAGTTGTCATTGGTTAGCTGGCAGTCAAAATACTTCGAAATATGTATCAAATTAACATCGAGATATTAAATATTTAATTAAAAACATATTATAAACAAAATATATAAAATATAAATTCTATCAAATTTATTTTGCTTTATGCAAAATTTTAATATTTTTTAACTTAAAAACAGACTTCAAAACGATTAAAATCATTAAGTAATGATCCAGTATTTTTAATTATAGAATAGGTTAAGTTAGGTTACTGTGACAGTCAGCTTAATTGACAAATACATTTAGAACATCAGATACCAGAATTTATTACTAATTACTGTAATAATCGCTTTATGATAAAAATAATTATTTTGTTGGTAATAATTATTAGTTGAACCATATATGTTTCTCGTTTTAAATAATTACTTAAAGAGGAAATTTTTTCAATATTACTTCTTTTAGTTTTTAATATTAGTTAAAATATATTATATTATAAAGTTTTCAGAGCTAAGAGGAACTTAATTGTTAGTTAATTAAAGAAATATTTTACAGCGCTGATAGAGTGCAGAAAGCTTTTCATTTTCAGGTCAGATAGTTTTGTGGCAAAGCTAAAGATATAGCTAGTCCTACATATGGCTACAGAAAGGTAGCTACAGAAGATAATATAGTATATACTATATATGTATATATTTATAGGAACAAACATTTAGTATAGAATCACCAAAATTAGGCTAATATTTTCAGTTTAATGTTGAACTTTTGTCTAATTTACTACTTATACATGGCGAAGTTTATGGAAAACATAATGGCTCTGATGTTTCCTAATAAATTTCTGGTATTAAAGTATATATAAACTTCATATTTTCTGTTTAAAAACTTGTTTTCGTACAGTTAGAACCAACAACTCCTAAAGACCACTAATGTAAGATATGTGACAGTGTTGGTATTAGTGTATTTTTATGATTTCTTTTAATTTCACTTAACTCTCTGAAAGGATAAGGATAATCCTTATCTATTCGAAAAAAAAACTTTTTTTTTGGTTGACATGGAAAACTTATTAATATAGACGAATGAACTTTGAAATAAAAGAAGAGAATTTTATGTACTCTATATGTTGTCAAAAGATAACCAATTCGTAGAAATAAAAACTAAAAAATCGAAGAGATACAATAATTTTGAATAAATTATATCAACTGTCATCCAAACAACATAACAGCAATACAAACAAATCCTATTTATTCCACAATTGAACACAGTTTTCAATAAACACTGTCACAAATCAACATGTTTCTCAGTCTAAATAGATTCCAATTTAGATGCATCACTGGTTTCTTACCTCTACATGCATCTGTTAACTACTACATTTCAACAATGGAACCAAAGAGCACTGACACCTTTAGATTCTGTGAAATATAAAGTGAAACTTTCGCCAATTTTATCTGCTCGTGCTCAGCGATTGACTGGAAACGAGTACAGTTAGTATCTGCACCCAACATTTATTGTATCGAATGATTTCTGGAGTCCATTATAAACAAGCCTTATTAGATTATCAAAAACACTTCCTGGAATATTACGAACAAAATTATAGGTCATAATGCTGCAATTGATCTACCTTCTAATGATAACAATCATTTTCAAATTTTTGGGTACGTCAACAGAATTTACAAAAGACAGTTATTTTAAGCAATTTACTAGACTATATGGCAATATAGCTAATTTTTCCGGATACCGGTCATTGAGATTGGAAAACACTACTAACAAGAAAATCACTAACAACAAATAGATGCGACATTGACGAACGTTAAATAAACTAAAATGGCATATGACTCAGAGGAAAAAGTAGCTCACTCTACTAAAGTTCGTTGACAAATTCGCTGACAATTCCGCTTGCCCAAGAAAACGGAATCTAGACGATTGTTTGTTTAAGAAGTTCGGTTGAATTAATTCCATGTGGTCCAGAACTATATGATCTATCCTACCAAACAGTTAGTTGGTAATAAGGCAACAAAACTGTAGGAAGGATCTAATTGCCCATAGGAATTGAGGTTAAAATTAAACCGAACAAACAGCTACCAACCCAACCTTAAGAGGTGTATAAAATAAGTAATACTTAAGTTTATATAGAAGTTTTGTACTGATGACACTGACAACTTAAGCATAATAACATTCTTATAAACTGACTTCATAGTAACATTCTTTTTGAGTACATATCTATAGAATTGCCACTCAATTGAAAGAATTTGTTGTTATAATTAGTTAATCTGATAACTCTTTAAGATTTTCACGATCAAAAATGCTTACTTTTAGATTAAAGTTACAGTTTTCAATCTGATAGAAAACTGTTAGGATAATAGAATTCTACCACAGAGAGTAGTTCGCTAGTGTATCCAAACTGAAATTCTACAAATCTTTTAATGTTGATTTTTTTTTGTCGCAAACTATAAGGGTTTAAGGAGTAATGAAGAAACAACAACACAAATTTTATATGACAAAAATTTGTAACAAAAAACTTGGAACTTGAGCATGGTAAATTCGTGCAGCCTTGACTACTTCTGAAAAAACACGATTAGTCATCGTTTATTATTTGACAGGCATGAGTTCTATGCTTAGCACTTGCAGTCCAACAAATTATATACAGACTATAAAGTAATTAACTAAAATTCGAATATTTCCTCAAATATGAAAATATCTTATATCAGTCGTAATTTCAATAAATTAACTAAAATTTTTGTTGTTATTTCTTCATTACTGTTTGAAGTCTTCTTCTATAGGTTTTGTTTAAGTGTCGTATTGTTTGCAATTTTGGGAAGTAATTTTTTTTTAATTTCTCTGGAGAAATCTTTTCTAAACACCTTCTCTAATTACTAGCAGATATTAAACTAGAATAATGTGTTGAAAATTATGTCAGCCTAGAATAACTTCAAATACAACAAAAGGCAAAATTTTTTTCACTAAACAAAAAAAAAATGAATATCTAAATTGTCAACGAAAAGGGAATATTATTGGAAGCCATTGAAGAGCAAAATGTGGACAGACAAAGAGAATGACCCACTCGCATATGATATGCAAATCAATTTGTTGCATGTAAAGCAACAATTAAGACATCACACAGAAAGCATTGCCACTAACGTATATCCATCCACAGACCGAAAGGCGAACCGACATTCACCTAGTACATACTAATCTTTAGACCAGCATATGTGGATAAACAACTCAGAGATACATTTTATACGAGTTTGCCAATGTGTGTCGACACATTAACACACTCCAAAATAGCTCATGTGTATCATAAAGTACGAGTACATCATCCGCGTGCGGGAAGGTGGGGGAAAGGCGCTGTGTTTATGCAAAGTGAATGAAAAAGAAAAATACTAAACCACATACGCCTGCCAAAAGGAAAGGGAAAACAGCTCAAAGCATGAAAATGTTTTTCAACGCAAAGAAAATTTGGAAAATCCGCACGAATTTCAGCTTTTCTCAGTACATTTTTGAACGTCGCGACTAACACAAGCGGCGCACCTAAAAAAAACAACATAAAATTAAAAAAAATTTAAAACAAAAATGTTTTAAGAAAAAAAATTGTTTAATAATTGTTATAAGTGAAGAAAATTTTAAAAAGAAAAACTATAAACTAACATTTGAGAAATAGTTTATGTTAAAGAGAGCACTCAGTTATGGGAGCGGTGAACGCGGGAATATCGAACAAAAATTAATTAAAATTATTTCATAAGCAATTTTGAGTGCAATTTTGTGCCAATCGGAAAAGCATTTAAAAACCAAAAAAATTAATTAAAAATAATTGCGAAGGAAATTAAAAAATTTTAAATAAAAACAAAGCCATAAGATTCTATACGAAAAACGTGTACACAATATACAATCGCCTCAATGAGTCTGAAGATGCCAACAGTTCTATTGATATTTCTCCTAATGATCATCAGTTTAATCCAGACAGGTTAGTTCCCTTACTCATCAGCAAAGCACTTTTCAATTTTAATTCTATTAATCGATGAAAATTCAAGTGACTACACCTTCTCTTTATAGTGACAATCAAAACATTGATTGTATAAACTATAAAAATTCAAGAGAGAAAAAATTAAAGTTCTAAATTGGTTCCTAAAGAAATAATATTATAAAAAAGTATTTAAAATAATATTAAAAAGTGTTAGGTACGCATTCTTTGTAAAAAGTATCTCGAGTCTTTAATCTACAAAACGCGCGTAAAAGTCACTTCCGCAATTCTCTCTAAATTAATTACAGTGTACTGTATTACTGTACGAAATTTAATGTGTTATATGTTGCCAAATGTTTTTACAATTGCTATTTTGCAATTATACTTTTGCATGTTCTGCGATAGCAAACGTTTTTAATAAAAAAAAACATAACAAATTTGAATGACCAAACACCGTCCTCTACTAACATGACCCAAACGTGACAAAATTTTGTGATCCCGTAGTTGTGATTACTATTTTGAGAAAAGCGTTTCGAGTTGATTGCAATCCTAACAGAAAATTTGCACAGGGTGTAAAAGTCCATACCACACTCAAATGGTGGGAAGTATTATATATGAAGGATTGGATCAGGCCATAAATTGTATTGCACACGATGTAACCTACTTTAAAAGCGATAAATAGAAGTACTAATAGATAAATTATTTTTTTATATTTTATTCATTAATTCCGTATACTTTTTACATAGAAGATGTACTATTCATTCCCTGATCGCACAGATTTTTTTTTTAAAGCTACAACTCAATTATCAATCTAATGTTGTTATTCTTTTCGTTAGTCATCGGCATTAATTGCTATAGTTGCGAATCTGTATATGAGTCCGAATCATGCGGTGAAAATTTTGAACCAGAAAACTATTTTAAAATGGATTGCTCGCGTGTATCACCACCGCGGTATATGGAACTCGAGTTGGAATCACGGAATTCGACAGCATGTATGAAAAGAGTTTATAAAGGTGAGTCAAAATAATATAAAATAAAATAAATTTATTAAAAAGTATATAACCAGTTAAACGTCTGCCATTAAAAAATAAACAAACCCACAGGAGAATAGGAAAACTATAAAAGTAGTATGTAAGAAGTTTATTAAGCCACTAAGTTTTTCTGATTGATTTCTTGTAATTTTAAATTATTATCTCACTTTTCCACATAGAAGCATTGACTTCCAAAACTTTTTCGATAATCTTTCGTGGGTCATTGTTCATATTTATCTTCCCGTGGTGACCCTCGTTTCGTTAAATGATGACATGAGGGCTACGTATTTTGCAGTACTAAAGTTTTGCATTTTATCATTTATTTAAATAGCAATATATATATTAATTTGTTCCATTATTTTTACTTTTTAATATATCCTAAGTATTACAGTTCTTAATTGAGTTGAAATCCCTGTTATACAAGTTAGCAGACCCCTTGATCTTCGATTATAAATTCGACGTTTCTTATGAGTTTTTTTTTAATATTCATTACGAAACACTTCGATTATTGACTATATGCTTGTAATTTCTTATAGGTTCATTTATATTCGTTCTCAAACACACCGATCATCCATTATCCATTTATAGTTTTTTACAGTTTTATAGATTTAATATATCCTAAGTATTACAGTTCTTAATTGAGTTGAAATCCCTGTTATACTAGTTACCAGACCCCTTGATCTTCGATTATAAATTCGACGTTTTGTTATGAGTTTTTTTTTTAATCTTCATTACGAAACACTCCGATTATTGACTATATGTTTGTCATTTCTTGTAGGTACATTTATATTCGTTCTCAAACACACTGATCATCCACTGTCCGTTTGTAGTTTTTTATAGTCATTTTTCTCAGGTCATAAAAAAGTTATAGTCATAATTATTAATTATTATTATTATTATTCAACTCTATCAACCAATTTTTTCAGGGTCTTTTTTTAGCATTTAAAGTAGGACAACATAAATTGTTTTGGTGATTGTGACCTCCGGGCGACACAAGACATGCCCTAGCTTTCGTATATAGGTGCTATTTAATCTGAATATTTTGGTTGGTGTTAATTATTTCATATCCAAAAAATGTTCATAAAATTTTATGTTTAAAGATAGTCAGTTGCTAAGATTCATATTATTTTACGACATCCATCACATCTATAAGTTGAAACTAGTTTAAGTTAGGTTGAAGTGGCGTCCTTGCACACACGCGTTCAATGTGAGGTTCGCGATTTTTCCTTTAATCCTTATTCTTATACTAATACTTATCCCCTAATATCTTAATCCAATATTTTATCCTTTAAATAAATATACTTCTATATATAATAATATATTAATCGAAATCTAAAGTCATCGATGCATAATGTAAAAAAAATTCATTTTTTTAAGTAAAAATTAATAGTAGTAGTAAGCTATAAATAATTGTATTTATTTAAACTATATATTCAATGATAAATCAGTTATGTTTAAAGATCAATTAATTCCATACATATAATATTTACAGAACATGTGATATAGCTACTGAAAAGTTGGTCCCCAAAACTTCATGGTAAGAACCCATGAAAAAAAATTAGAAAGGTGTTTTCGGAAATACAGTTCGTTTTATATTATTAAAGTGGCTAATAAAAAATATTAAGCCAAATCGGAGACAATTATGTTAGTTTTTGTGAAAATCCATGCCATTACTAAAGGAACGACCCACTTATGAATAGAGAAGTCTGTGAATGTTTTCGGGAAGAAATCAATTTAATTTAATCTGGAATATCTTTATGCCAAACTTTATCGAAAGCTAAGGCAACATTTTGGAAATCAGTAGATCTATATGTTTTGTCCTGGAGACAAGGATTAATTTCTTCGATTTATTTGTGAATATGTTAAATAGTGCTACACCATATTCTGAAATTAATTTGTGATTTTGTAAAATGCCATTTAAGGTTACAATGAAAGTTATAATGAAATTCGATAGCATCAATTTTTTTTTTCGAAATCTTGATATTTATTGAAACTGGAGGTTAATTAGTACGTGGTACGTTAACAGAGTTAGTGCCTTTCCTAGCTTTAAAATTAATTTAATTTGTCAAATTTTGTATTGTTTTAGATAATAGAGGGTTTTAAAATATATGGGGTCATCCAATTCATGGTTCTGAAATATATTTAAATAAAACGTTGTTTAAAATTTCATTTACATTTTTATTTCAGTATATTATTTTAACCTTGCCCTTAAGAATGTACTACAATATACCATATAGTCAACTATTCTTCACGGATCTTTTTGGAATACTGAACACTTTTGAAGCACTTTTAGATACGGACGAGTGACGTATAACTCGACGGATGTTCATTTTTGAACCATTAAAAGGGTGATAAGTTGTATGATCTTGACAGTTAATTCAGATCACCGAAAAGTAGATTGTGACGTAACCTCCGATGTAACCTTCGCTGACGTTATAAATAAATATACAATAACACCCGAAAGCCTATTTGTTTCTAAGCATTCCTGATTGGTGATTTAAGTATGACGATCTTTATAGAACTATTCTATTTCTTAAATCTGTAGGGTTCAGTATTTAGCTTAACAGCCATGAGTTAGTCATAGATCAACTTGTAATACTGAGACTTTCACTACGCTACTACGCAGGTCTGTATCACTATTATAGTTTTTAAGTAACTGTCTCTGGAAGTAATTAATTCAGCAAGCATTTATAAACAATTTTAATATCTCATATTTGCATTATTATTTTTTTAAGTTTTGTATTTTAAAATCTTGTTCTAATTTTAGATAACTGAACCTAATAAAAATGTTTGAAATCTAATGTATTCAAATTTACTTATTCGAATAATAAATAACTTATTCTTATTTAACTTATTTCAAAATATTCTGAACTTATTCAAATGTTACTATTTTTTTTTTAAGGATTATTTCTCCTTCTTAACAATGTTGCTTTTCATTATTTAATAAAGATAGCGTCAAATTTTCGAGGACTACATATCTTTGTTTTTTTGGGGTAGTCTCTCATATTTCTTGTCTTATTATGTCGAGTTTAATACAGCACACGTTTTCATTATTAATAACTTATTGACGAAATATAGACGAAAGTACAAAGAGGATCATGTATATGCGGTTTTAATAATATTAACTTAGAGTAGATCGTAATCCTGATGATGACTCTCAAGGAGTGTCGAAATATAGAGTATAAAAAAAATTTTAAACGTTGAATTAAAAAAAATATAAAAAATCATTTCAATAAACAGATCGATAAATAAATTCAAAAAATTTTATTAATAACTTGTTGTTATCCATTATTAATATAGATAACAACTAATAAGATTAAAATACCCTGACGGTATTTGAAGTATGTGACCGACCTATTTAAATGTATTTAGATTGGCTCCTTAGATTCGCTTTTCAATAATAACTAGGGACTTCTTTTTGAAACTTTTTCTGTTATAAAGAAGACATAATTACAAAATATATTATAATATTTAAATTTAACCAAACTTTATTGTTGTAATTTCAAATTTAATTTACCGCCTATTAGCGAATGCACCACATTGCATGCACACCATGGCGTATGAGTAATTAAAAAAAGACTCAGTGAAAGTTATTTTAAGAAGAAAAATAATTTTTTTGATAGATGTTCGACCTTCTGGAAATTTGTTTTTCAGTTTATTTCTGTTTCATTTATTGGTTGGAAATGCATTCTTAATTGGAATAGCAATATTCTTTCTTGTACTTTGTTTCCATATTTTTTGATGTGTGAAAATTGCATGAAAAGTATAAACATTTTCATTTTTAATTTGTTTTGTTCTAAATTTTTATGTATAAATATATATTTTCTTCTTTATGTTAATCTATTTTATTCTCTCTCTCTCTCTTTCTCTCCCTCTCACACACAAATTCTCTCTCACACTTTTTACATCTTTCTGTTTATTTTTTATTTACAGAGCATGGCGTTCAGAAAACAGTACGCAGCTGTTTCTTTGGTGACGTCAACGACACCGCTATGGGTTGCAGATTGGATCCGATGTTGACGTCTGTGGAAGAGATCTCCTGTCATGTCTGTGATAATGAAAACTATTGCAATCGTGCCAAGGAACTGCATCAGCACCCAGCCATACTTGCGGCAACGCTGGCGAGTTTCATTTTCTTCGCAAAAATTTTAAATACAAAATCGGATTAAAATTTAGAATTATTCTGAACTAATGCTGTGAAATGTACATTTGCCCATCCTGTACAAAAATATTGAAAGAAATGCACTATACAGACCTTCCATAAATTATACAAAAAAAAAAAACAAAAATATATATATATGTTTTCTTTGAAAACAGGGCGAATAAACTAACATTAACAATTTATTCTGAATAAAGCAATTAGTAAATTAAGTAAAAAGCAATAAAAAAGCTGTTGAATTTAATAGTTTTTGGGCGTTTTGGTTAAAATTATATCAAATTGAAATTGTTTCATTTGTAATTTGTTGGTCTCTAATTTAGATAAACGAAAAAAGACGCTAACACAGTTTTTTCATTAGCCATTAAGACGCCAACGCATTTTAATAATAAATTTAGAATTAATTCTCTGCTTTGAGATTCTCTAGGCAGTTCAGTTGGTGTCATTGTTGGTATGTTTGACGAACTTTTTCCCCATGTGTAGCAAATGATATAAACTATTTGTTGCTATTTTAAAATATATTAAGTTAATCCATGATTTTTGTACACTTCATACACATAATGCGAAAACTATGCTTATAAATTAAGTTTGTAAAATATTTGACACTTGGTCAAATATATCGGACACTATTTCAGCAATGACAAATCCTTGTCTGAGTATGTTATAGTCTAGTTCATTAAGAAATAATACTGAACAATAACAAACTATCTAATAATAAATAACTAAAACCGAATTATCATTAGGGTTATTCACAATCTCGCGTAATGAGATCGGTAACTATTAGTACCATAGCATATCGACAACAACAAAATACACATCGAGTATTTTGTTGTTGATATTTTGCAATACTAATATTGTTACACGATTACTGAACTCGTTACCCGACATCGTGAATACTGTCTAATTTGTTTTGTTATTGCGTTCTCGACCTTCTTTATTTCAATTAATGATTTTTAACTCACTTTTCCTCATTTTTTTACTTTTTTCTCTCCGTTTCTCCATTTCTTTACCCATTAATCTCTTTCTTTCTCTTTTATTTCTCTTCTTCTTCCTCACTTTCCGCTTCTCTTTGGTTCATACTTTCTCTTTGACTCTTCCGCTCGTTCTTCCTCCCTTTCTCCTCTTCATCTTTCTTTCTTCTTTCTTTCCTTTTCTCTGTGACTCTCCCTCTTCCTTTTACACCTTCCCTCCCCCTTTTCTTCACTGCCTTTCTCTGCCTCCATCTCTCTCCGGTATTTCTCAACCAGAAGGTCTTTTACTCAGAACTTCTGTTAGTTTAAAATAATAAACTATTACAAAGTCAGGCTAGAACCATGCCTATAATCAATATGCGATCAATAAAATAAACACGAAAAAGAGTAAGATGTCATCATAAATCAAAGTAATATTCACTTTCCAATATATTAGTTATATCTATATTACCTGATCTATAATTGTTGTGTGCTAAGCAAAAACAAAAGCGGTTTTTGTTTAAGGACAAATTAGAAGTCAATAGTCCTAGTGGCATGAAGTCACAAGGACATAGCCGTTCCATTAATTGCAGGTAAAATCCATTTGGTGTGTCTGCACTCAGTGTGATTTCACCATTTAATGGTTGATTCAGATTGGATCCAAATTCATTTGATGTGTCTGCACTCAACGTGATTTTACTATTTAATGGTTGATTCAGATTGGATCTCATAACAGATTTAGGTAAGTCGCGAAATGGTTGTGGTCCATAAGGCACCGTATTGGAACCGGTTCTAGCGAGTTCGACTGCTATTAATGATTACTGACATTCCGAAATGGCCAAGAATCCGTTTTAGGTTAAGGTTTGGTTAAAATTGTTATATTTAGGATAAAAACTTATTGATTTGGTTAAGATTTTCATATGTAATAACGTGAATCAAAACTGTTAAATTTGCTCTGAAGAAATTATCCTTCAGAAGAAGTAATTTATTATCATTTATATTTATTATTATTTGTTATTTGTTATATTTATATTCATTTATTTATATTTATTTATTTATTATTATTATTTATATTCATAATTATTATTATTATTATTTATATTTATTATATATATATTCATTTATTTATATTTATTATTATTATTTATATTTATTATATATATATTCATTTATTTATATTTATTATATGAATATAAGATTATTGTATTTTCCATAAAAATACGATTAGATTTACAATAATTTGTTTCTATTAAAATAAATAAATGCTAAGTAAATAACTCATACTTTATAAATAATAAATATAAATATATAAATATATAAAATATATAAATATAAATAAATAACTCATATCAATAATATTAACTTAATATATCTTAAAAGAATTATTAAGTAGATTGTAAATTAATAATTTGTATCAAAAGTATGTGTGTGAAGGGTGTTATATCTTCGGCAAAAACAAATTTTTTTTTTTCTTGTATTTTTTTTTATTTAGTGTTTCTAAATTTCTATTTAAAATAAAATTTTATTTTATTTAAAGATTGAAATGACGAAAATTTTGTTCTAACAAATTTTTATTTCATTCATAGATCAGTACTGCTCGAGGTCAATTTCGTCAAAGACGTGTGAAAATTTTGCTTAATGTTTTATAAAAACAAAAAAAAAATTTATCAAATTTTCATAATATATGTAAATAATAAAATTAATAAAGCATTTTAACGACATTTATTGAAATACTAAATGCAAATTATTAAAAATAAAAACTAAAAAATAAATATTATTAGTGGCGATATTGCATTAAGTTTTAAAAAATATTCTAAATATATACATATATATACATATCAACAGAAAAATAAATATAAAAATATATTTAAGAATTTTTAATAAAAATCTTACCTCATCTTTGTGACTCAAAAAAATCGAGATGCGTGCGCTTTTTATTTGTACCATTTTAGGCATTTGTTTCGCTGTCGGTAAGGCTTTTGGAGATACTTTAATTATTGCCTGCCAAAAATATTTAAATTAACATTTTGTTAATTAAAAAACAGTGTCCGCTATTAAATGCTACAACTGTGACTCGCTGCACGACCCACGATGCAATCAATATTTCTCACCGGAGGGCGTTGAACAGGTTGACTGTGATGAACTTGAAATGCCGAAATATTTGGAAAAATATGAACGCCGCCTACCAGCCACAGGATGCATGACAAAAATTCATGAAGGCGGTGAGTACCATAAATAATTAGTTTCCAAAGAAATGTTAGAAAACAGTTTCATTATAAATATTAAAAAATTAATTTAATGCAATATGTGAAGAGTTTGTGATCGATTATCACTATTTGATCGATGATTTTTTTTTGATCGATGATCTCTTTTATATATATTTCTAAAGCTTTAGAGTATTTATTTTATTCTTTGACCAAAAAAAGAAAGTCACTCAATTCTCATAGGTTTACTATTTTTATTAAACTTACAGAACTATATTAAAACAAACTCTATTATTAATAATAATAACAATAGATTATCACACTGAAAGATGAAACTTTAGTATATTCATTGCATATTCTTCAAGAAAATAAACAAAAATAATAAATATACTGATTTAAAGTGGGTCATAACAACAACATAATGTGTTTGACATTAGAGTGAATTTATGCTTTGGTCCAAGAATTGAAAAATATCGTAAAAGATTGAACGAAAGTCTGAAATTTCAGTATTCAAAAAAAAATATAAATAAAAGTCGTTTAGCCACAAGAACACATTAGATATCAAATTAATGTATATATAGTGAACTAATGATCTATATAGAAATATTGTTTAAGTAATAAGAATTAATAATTTTTGAGATATTAAGTAATTTTGGACATCCTTTATATGGGTGTCCAAATATTATTTTTGAGAGATTTATTTGAGTTACGAGTATTTAATCTTTCTCACCCTTTATTTTGATTAATACTGAAACTACACATTTTTCTTCACCTCCATACTCATACGTTTTATTTTAAATATGATTATGATATACAATTATATTTAGTATATAGTCAAAACATTTTTTATGAGTTACACATAAATTGCATTAGATATATTGTGGATATATTGGATATATTGTGGTTACACCTTTTGTCTTAGTCGCATAATTTTATTTAAATATTTTTCTCTCTAAAGTTACTATTTTTTATATAATACATAATGTGTATTTACCTGAGAAACATTTTGTACCAAAAAAATTATTAACAATTGGCATATATCTTATAGTTGGACAACTCAATATATCTCTGTCTACTCTCTTCTTCTGCTTCGATACTACAGTCCTGTATGCATTTTGAACTGATTGTTTCCATTTAGGTCAAACATAACTCTTCCAATTAACGATGTTGTGGATTTTGGAATTTTTCTAAATTTTGTCTATTATCCTGTTTTTAGTATATCTTTATTTGTTTTTTATCAAACAACCTATTAAATTATTACCCGAAACTACTTCGTCATAGGCTGAATAATACTGCTGAGTTATGGGAAATTTAAAGCGTACAATTAATTAATAATTTAATTAATAAATAATGCAAACTTAAGCACATTACTAAATTTTACTATATTCATATTTAATTTTTATTTAATTTATATTGTATTTAAAATCGTCCGAGTCTTGCATAGTGAATCGATATTAGCTGTAATTTGTAATCCAGCTAATTAATTAATTTGTTTTTACAAAGAGCTGAAGGTTAGTGAGATCTCAACAATTTAAAAGCCTACATTAATTCTTTATTAGAAAACGTAATTAAATTTATGGAAATATAAAGTTCATAGAATTAATTATTTGTAATTTTCCTGGATAATATCTCCGGTCTTGATGAGAGAAGAATATATTTCTTGAGTGAGATAGAGTATGGAGGTCATTATTCGTGTTTTAATTAGGTTGGTCACCAAAATGTCATAAAATATAACTAGTAACTACAAGTTACTTAAGGTATAAGTGTCACTATTGAGCATGAATATTATTTTTAGATTCTTTATCCACCAACTGGCACTCTTACAGTCTCAAATTTTCTGCAAATGTCTTCTCACTCCCCTTTATTGCCTATCACATTATCCACATAATTAAGTAAGCTAATATATAAAGTAAATGTTTTGAACGCTCCAAGGCTTAATAAGAAAACGTAGTTTATACCCTTATCTATATAGTGTCAATATTGTTGCATTTATTTTATTTTGAAACGTATTGTCAACATTAGTTACGCTTTACTTTAATTGAAAACGGAACATTTAAAAATATCTTAAACTTATAATTACAGTAGATTCTCGGTTCAACGAGTACTCTATATAACTAACCCATTTAATAACGAACGATCAATTACTTGTAAATAACAAGTAACTAATGTTGTATGTGAAATATATACGAGTAAAAGAAATGCTTTGATATTATATATATCGTTATATCAAGAGTCTATTATATATACATAGAATAAAACATTCATAAACATAATTCGCTTTCTACTTTTAGTTGAAGGTTATCGATTTTTTATACGTCGTACCTGTTATTACGGTGATATAGATAATACTGAAGAAGCATGCGAAGCTGAGGATCCTTATGTGTTTTTCAGAGACACTTTATCATGTGATGTGTGTAATGATGATCTATGTAACACAAATACTGCAACAAAAACATCCGCTGGTGCAATGGCTGTGATTATTACTATTTTTGGAACTTATTTATTAGGCTTATAAAAAATGAACCTCAAAAGATTTAAAAATAATTTTTAAATTTCTCTACCAATTAAAAATGCTTTGTGTACAATTTTAAAAGTTAATATTATAATAAATAAATAAATTTAAATCGATTTTAAATACAGATACGCTTAAGTGTTTCTAAATTTATTTCAGAAATTACTACCTTTCTAATGATCACAATTAACGATTCACTTTTGTAATATATACACCTTAAAGGTGATATCTTAACGACGTTTTCAAAAGAGAAAATAATATTATAAAGTTTATATCATATATAATCATAAATTATATCTTATATCAGAATGTCCATTTATTACTTGTAACTTGTATACAGACAGCTATACGCTCCGCTAGGTAGACAATTAATAACTAACAATTTTATTCAACCACACATTTTTTAACATAATGCAAAAAAAAGTGCATATATAGAGCATATCATACATCATCATATGGTGCTGAGAGAGTGTCATTGAATGTAGAAGCTGTTTTTTTCCTGTGCTCGTTAATACTATAAAGTAAGCAATCCATAGTAATCAATAACAATTGTTTATAAAACAGGTTTTTTTCTGTATTGGCTAAACCGCATCAAAGCAACAATATGAGACTTTTACAAACTGAGACTAATGAAATAACATTCCGAAAGATATGCAGTGTAATGTGTTTATGTAAAATATTATAAAAATTATAATTCTCATACAGTATATTCATACTTTTTTATAAAAATAATTGCAATGTTGAAGGTAGTTGTTTTGTTTTAATGTAAAGTATTATATATATTTGGACTTGCTCCGAAAGTACCTGTCTTCCTTGGTTTTTACTTTTTTTTATGACGTTAAATAACTAGACATTAACTTCTCAAAATGCCATCATCGACGAAAGCATTATCTATAATGATTTTTTTGCTTTGGAATTCAAGTAGTAAGACATCCAAAATATAATATATATAAAATAAATGTCATATCTATCAGTTATACAATTTTTTTTTTCATCTTTTTCATTACTAAAAGTAGGCTATGAAAAATATAAAATATTTTTATATATTGAATTAATTTCATATTGTTTAATTTAAAAACTTTTTTGTTTCGGATAACCATAGCTTAAAATATGGACCGTAATGGAATATGTAATGACAAATCCAAAAAAAAAACACAAATCACAAAAGAAAGTGATGAAAAAGGAAGTGAAGACATACTAAAAGTATTTTCGCCAGTTTTTCCCTCATGCATCAATAAGTATAAGAACCTAACTCACGTTGGTGCGACAAACCCACAACCATCCGAAAATAGCAAGTCAGTTCAGTAAATTTTATTTTGAGTGCAACCGTAAGCGATGCCCTCAGGATTGATTCCTTTGTTAAGCATTACGTTGATATCGTTATTACTTCGAGCATTGGCTTTAATGTAAGCGATTTAAGCCCATGGACGGATTTGTATATATAACATGTATATAACATATGATTTGAGTACATCAATATATGCATATAAGTAAATACCTAGCATATTGTAAACCTAAATAATTGAAATATTATGAACACAAATTAAATGAGTATATTCTTGTATATGTATTATATATATCATATATTTCATTTTATTGATTCTTACTTCTGTTTTTTATTATATATATATATGTATTAATATATATGTTTAACTACATCCAATAATTATTATTAATTAATAAACAAACATTAAATAAAAAGATTTGTTTGTTTAATTTGTATTTTTTTCACTGAAGTAAAACTATATAAAACTAACATTTATCATATATAATATATGTTTATATGTATATATATATATAAATATATATATAACATATTTAATTCACATTTAATAAAGTAATCAAGAGAAATCTTATAATATTTGCTAGTAGCATTTATAATAATTTGATTTTTTTATTTTGTTTTTAATAAATAGTAAATTAATTTTTTTATTAATTATGCAAAGCAATTTTTAATTTTATTCTCTTATTACTTTTCACATTTATAATGAAATTTTTTTTTAATTTAAAAATAATTCATTTAAACAAAATATATAAATTATTTTTTTTATATGTTTTGACGTTTGTTTAGTTGTGATATATTTGTTTTAATAATATGTAATTGCATATTTTCCAAATTACATTATACAACACTTATAAGTTAGGAAACAATTATATTATGTTTCTGTAAACATTTTTTTACTTTTTTTTTAATGCATTATTTTTTTTATATTTTATATTATATATTGTATATCAACGTTAAATAAAAGAATTTATTAAAAATTTAACATATATATGCAATGTAACAAATTTTAAAAATTAGTGCATTTATTAAAAAACTCATACAAAAATTAAAAAAAAGTTTAATGAAAGCTTATATATATACACATATATATATATATATATATATATATATGTAGGTTATATATAAAATGTTAATCTTCAAAATACTGATAAAAAAATTTATTTTTTATAAACCATGCGTTCATCATTAGAAAACCTCAAAAACATTCGTAAAATAAAAAACAATTTGTCATTTGACATTCTTAACATAATATATTAATAGTTACAAAATATATTAATTATAATTTTTTAAACAAATTTTAACAACAACAAACTTAATAATAAATCAATAATTAAATATTTTCTGTTTATATACTTTATATACGAATATATAAATTTTATAATATTATTGCAGATTTAAATTTATTATTTTTTTTTTTTGACATATATATTTATCTATATATAATATGTGTATGCACAACAATTAAAGTTTAAGAGATAATATTTAAATATTTTAAACAACACAGACAGCTTTTTTCGTTTTGTTTTATTTTATACATTTATTTAAAATTTTTATGATTTTTAAATGATTAATAAATTAATTCCTCACGTTTTGATTGTATTTTTTAAATTTAATTAAAAAATTATTGTTTTAATAACTAAAAATCACTTAACTTTTATATTTTGATATATATTTTAGATTTTTAGTTTCTTATATTTTGTGTACAAAGTGATATTTCCAAAGTTTATAGATCAAGATTTTAAATAATTTGATAAAAATTAAAAGTTGAATATAATAAAAAATTATTTTTAAAATAATCCATGAATAAATAAACAATAAAAAGTTAACATATAAAAAATAAAAATTTAAATTTAAAATAATAACAATAACAACATCATAACATTTAAACTATTTCCAAATTATATTAAAAATTAATATATTAAATAAGAAATAAAGGCAATAAAAAATAATTACATACATTGTATATAATGACATGAATAAAAGCATAAATAAAAAACATATACTAGATAAGAAAATTGGAAAATAAAAGCGTTGAAGTAATTAATTAATATTAATAATATTTATTATTAAATAAAAAATTGATATTTAAAAAAACATTAAAATTTTCCTAAAAAGAAATTAATTGGAAATAATAAACCTTCATTTTAAATAACAGTGTATTCATTACACTAAATATATTTAAATACACTAAAACTTATAAATTATTTTATGCATATATTTATTTAATCAAATAATTATTTTCATTTATAAAATTAAAAAAAAAAGTGTTCAATGTTAAGGAAATTAAAAAATGCACCTCAAAAGTAAAATATAAATTTTGTTGAAAATTTGAAATATTATAAACTCAAGTTATGACTAATAACAACTTGTATTCAAAAGTATTATAATATATAAACTTCTTATAAAAAAACCCATTTGCAACAGAATATAAAGCAAAAATAAAATATTAACCTTGACATATATTGGAAGTACATATAAATCGAAAAGATCTACAATTAAAAATTGCACAATAAATGGAATGTCTATAAAAAGTTTTAAATAAAAACTAATATCAATAATATCAAGAATATATAAATTATTGTTATAAAAAAAAATATATTATATATATATAAATATATATATATATATATATATATATTGTAAAACCAATAAAATTAAAGTCTTCAAAATCTTCTTTAGTCTTCAACTTTGTCAATTTTTTACTACAAAAGTTTTTAAGCAATTTTCATTTTAATTTTAATTTTTATATAAATAAAAATAAATTTTTAAAAACAGATTTTAATAACAAATAAATAACATAAATCATAACAAAAAATTTTATTTCTATTGCTTATATGTTTCTATTTTATTTTTCCAATTTAAATTATTTTATTTTAATAGAATTTTTTTAATTTCTAATTTAATTTTAGTTTTTATGTTTTTAATTCCATTATTTTATAGTAAATGTAATTTTTATTTTTAGATATATTCACTATTGAAGAAAAATAAATTGAATTAATATTAAAATATTTAGTCTGCTAAACTTTTTCTCAAACAAAACAATAATATGAATTTTTAAGTTTTATGCTTTAACTTTAAGTTATTAAAGAAATATATATATCAAAAATATCTTTCTTAAATATAAAATAAAAAAACAACAAAAATATGTTTGCACTCGTATATATAATACATGTTATTTTAAAATAACAAAAAAAATTAAGGAAAATGGGATCCACTTTCTTTTTTTAGGGATATCTCAGTTATACAAAATTAACAGAGATAGAGTCCTACAGAAAAGTCAATCTGAAAAAAAATTTTTATATCATTTTGTTTGAAAATATCCTAAATATGCATATATATAGAATAAAAATATATTAACAAAATAATTATGGTACACAATGTTTAAAAAAATAAAGGTAATATAATACAACAAAATTAATATATACCTCAACTATTTACGTATATATCGACATAAATATATATCAACAGATATGTTCTGTGATATATAAAATACACTAATATAATGTTAAATAATTATATACAAAATAATATATTGTGAATATGTCAAAAATGTATATAAAACTAATTACATATACAAAAAAATAATATACATTAAATGCTTAAGAAAATATATTTCACAAAAATATAAAAAAAAAAACAGAGAAAAGATAAAGAAGAAAAAAATATAAGAAAAATAGAATAAATAAAAAAAGAAGAAATAAAAAAAAGAAGAAATAAAAACGAAAATAAAAAAAAGAAAAAGCAAATAAATAAGAAAAAATAAAAAAGGAAATAAAAAAAAGAAACAAAAAAGAAGAATTAAGAAATTAAAAAGAAAAGAAAAAACAGAAATAGAAATAATAAAGAAAAAAAAATAAATAAATAAAAACAAAAAAGTGAAGAAATAAAAAAGGAACAAAGTCAATAAAAATCAAAGAAAAATGTATATAAAAAACAAATTAAGAAAGCAAATGAAAAATGTTGTAAATAATAAAAAAATCAAATTAAATAAACTTAATTACAAACATTATATAAAAAAATAATAAACAATTAAATGTAATAAGTAAAATAAAAAAATTACTATAGGATATACATATATAAAATATATATATGAATTATAATGTCAACAACATCTTATAGCGGATACGCATGAAATTATTTGGTGAATATTGCACTTAAATAATGTTTAATTATTATTGATTAAAATTAAGAATATTTAAATTAAATTATTAATTTAAATTTCAAATTTTTAAATTTCTAAAGCCTTTAACTATAACTGTCTGCATATCAACTATAACTCTACTGAATGTTTTTTTTTTAGTAAATTGGTATTACGACTATTATTTTTTTTGTAACCCAAATAGACCAACTGGCATTATTCGTGATAAGAGCAGTGAGTATCACTTGGTGTCTATACAGACGATTAGCTCCATGACATTACTTCTCCGCTCCCAGAACCATCTCTTATGCTACGATCTCAGTGCTACATACTAGGAAGTAATAGAAAAAGTTTCTCGTACTAAACTGAGCTTACTGAGCTATTAGTTTGTAGCTATTTAGTGACTAAATGTTTCACTATTATATATTGAGCGTATTGTTTATTACATTTGCTTTGTTGTTTAAACTTTAGTGTAGGATAATACATTCAGATAATGAGAACCCTAGTTCTTTTTTGTTTATTTATATTATTTATTTATATTTTGTTTATTTATAATTTTAGGGTAGTCGTATATTGATTTTATTAGCTCTGAAGTATTTCGATATAATATGGAAATATCATAAATATTTTCATAATATTAATAACTTTCGAACACGAATCTTCACTGATAAAGAGGTTTAATCTGACATCTATAATTGTTGTTTGATTGATAATAGAAAGTAGAATGGATTCTTAATCGATTACTATTTGCTCAAACTAAAATATCAATAGAATTATATGAGTAAAAAGTCAAATACTTAATAAAACAGAATTTGAATTTAAAAGTTACAGCAAGCAAACACTGGCTGAAGTAGAAAGTATCTACTTCAACAGATTTAAGCAAGTTATAATCGATTTCGAACTCATACTAGATTTATATTAATTATATTAAAATTAATTTCCGCTTAATAGCTAGTTAGTTATATATATAAATATAGTAAATATTACATTACATTTAATTGAAAGGAAAAGCATTAGTAATTATCATTATTAGATGCAATATTTGGAAATGTTACTCAATTAAAAGATAATTAAAAGATAACCAGATAATAAACAATAAAAAAAACAATAATATTTATGCGAAACTGAATTGTTTAGTGAATGTATATAATATCAAACTAATCTTGATCCATTAAAATATCACTTCGTATTACTTAAATATTTACTAGTGCTTATAGATATTTTAGGTATATATTTATTAGCTTGAGTTTTTGCTTGTTCGTTGTTATAAGATACAACTCGTTATATATGCGTGTATATGTATCTAGAAGTTGTATTTTTATTCTTTAAACCAAAATAATAGAAATTGATTTTTTATCGTAAGAGTTTATGTGAAACCTTTTTCGCAATTAGTCCGAAAATTAGTAGATTATTTAGTTTATGTGTACTAATATTTATCACCTCGAAATCTGAGCAGAAGTATTAGCAGTTTTTTTTTTTTTTGATACTATATAAGTAAATATATAAAGGAAAAAGACATGAATTTACTTTTTATTTGAGTGCTGTTGATATTATTTTAATATATAAAGCACTGACTAGAGGGAAAATATAAAATATAAAAATATTTATAAGCAAATAATTAATTAATTAATTAAAATATTAATTTTTTTATTAAAAATTGGTAAGATTGATTATTAAAGTTTACAATATGCATAATTCATAACAAATTGATAACATAATACAACAAGTTTTAGTAAGAGTTTATATCAAATAACTTCTTCTATTATTATTATTTTTTTCAAACATATCTTAAAATGGTGGCTACCATTTATCCGGGTTTATAGTTGTCTATCTCTAGCTCAAATTATTATCTCAAATAACAATGTAGAAGAAGAGATTTCTGCTATATAAAACTTCAACAATGTACTGCATAACTTAATTTCCTCCTGGATTAACTTAAGTGTAATTGTAGATGCCATTTACTATTGTTTATTTATAAGATTAAATTGATTTTTAACATTAAAAAAAGTAGTAACGAATTATTGTTTTTGTAATATAGATGCATATTTTTAATTAAATGAGATCATTTTCTATATATATCCAAAAGAATTAACTTATGAGCACGTTATGTCTTCAAAAATTATAGCCATCTTTTTCTTTATATATTAATATAAAAATTAAAATATTTAATTTTATAACAATATCAGTCCCAACAGAGACAAAATAAAATAAGAGGGAGCTTGATTTTGGTAAGAGATAATATTCAATAAAACAAATAATTTCTTTAAAAATATTATTAAAATCAAAAAGTTAAGAACCAATTCAGTCTTTCCCTTCTACTAAAAAATGCCATTGAAATGTTTTGATTCTATATATTATTACAAAAAAAAAATTAATAAAAAAAAATATGAGCAATTAGGTTTTATTAAATAAATACCAACAGCACTCAAAAACCAAAAAAAAAAAAATATTTTTAAGCTAATCTTATTAAAACAAAACTTTTTGTATAAATTTTAAGAATATCGATGCTTTTTCCATAAAATTATTATTGTAATATTTGCAATTACTTTTGTATATATATTTTTTGCACTATTTTGTTTTTCTTTTTTTATAATTATCTTTATTATTATTATTATAATTTTATACTATTACTTTTTATAATTATTATTTTGTTTGTAGTTATATCATATTTTTATATTATTTGTTTATCTTATATATCAATAATTTTAAAACACACATTTTTTTAATATAATATTAAAATATTAATTTATTTTTTGAAATAACTTTTTATTTATTTATTATTTATTTTATATTTCATAGTTTATAAATTAATGCTCGAAAAAATTGAGCAAAAATAATTTATGAATTATAACTATTCTTTTATATTATATATTAAATTTAGTTAATAAAGGTATAATAAAAATTAAAACTGTTTTACATTTTCTTTTTGTTATAATTTTAAAAACAAAACAATATATATAGATTTTTTATAAAATTAATAATTGATGAAATCAGTCCGTAGTTTGATTTTGTTTAAATAAAACTATTTTTTTTTTAAAACAAAAAATTTCTTATAACAAATAAAAATAAAAGATATAAGAAACAAAAAAGAAACAAGAAAAGAAAAAACAAATAACAAATTTAATATTTTTATAATTAATTCTAAACCGATAGGTTTAACATATTATATAATTATAAATGATTTAAATACACATTGACAATAATATACACATATATATGTTAATAATTATTTTATATAGTTGATTTCAATTACTTCATAATAAATATATATAAAGTGTTCTGCTGGTGGGGAAGGGGAAGGAAACATGAAAAAATTAATATTTAATACATGAAAATATATAATTTATAATTTAACAAATATAATTTTACTAAATCTTTTATATTTAATTATAAATATTTTTTTATATATTTTATTATAATTGCATGCATAAACAGTTTTGTGTATTTTTGTTATTCTTTTAATTTTCTTTTACTATTATTTTTAGGAATTTTAATATAGACTGTTTTCTACTATTTTCCAAAATCTCTTTCTGTTTTAACAATTTTTCATCCAAGTATTTTAGGACGTATATTGCATTTCTATAAACTTCATAATGTTGAAATATTTTATTACATTTTTGTTCGCACTCTCGCAAATAAAAATAAAAACAAGAGTCAAAAGATTAAAATTTTAAGAAACAAAAATTAAAATAAAAAAATAGAAAGGTAACAGAAGACATCGTCGGCGGGTTAATCTTCTTGCTTTTCTATGTTATTTTGTAAAATTTGTTCTTAAGCATTTACTAAGCAGGCAAATATGAGAATCGAACATTAAAGGATTATAAATTCAATCCTTTTTGTCAAACAAAACTACTTTGTTTTATTTCGTTTTCTCTATTTCAACCATCTTAAGCACCAACGAAACCGTAGACTTCTAGTACGCGTATTTCAAAATCACGGGACGGACATAATGGTGGATTATTGAATGTCTTGCAGCTGTCCGTTTTACCAAAACGTATGTTTTCATCCATCCAAATGGCTTGCCCTTCACTATTGAAAAAGAGAGCAAAAAGGGAATATTAAATATTCATATGAATGTGCTTGAAATAATGTTAGCCCACTTACCCGCCACCGATTGTTATCATTTTAGCATCAGCTGCCATGAAAAGTTCTGACGAATGTCCCAAATCTTTGTCATTTTCAATGCCTACCCATGGATATTTGGCACGTTCTGGATACAAGGAGAACAGAAAAGTTTCACCTGTACCAAAGTAGGCCTGACGTTGGCCTTTATCATCTTTCACATTACGTTCGAACCAGCGTGAAGAACAATATGCGCCGAAGACCTACAATATAATAATATAAAAATGATTACAACTCATTAAAAAAACGACAACAAAAAACTATTTTAATTTAAATATTGCTATAGCACCAAATAGGAGCAATCCCATGAATTGGGATAAGAACTTAAAATTCCCGGCGCGCCATTTTTAAAAGTTATTTTGAGGAAACTGTCAAAAAGCTTAGTTCTTCAGATATCAGACTTTAAAGCGGAACAGTTTTACATGAAAACCATATACAACAAGTACACACGCCATCTGGCGTATATTACATTGTTTGCTATATATAAACAATCCATATATAAAATACATGAAAGACGTGTGTGGTTTTTGTTAATGTTATCAATATAAACATTGTACAACCTCGATATCTTAAGAAGCAAGCTACATCAGCTTACTATACTATAATAGTGGAAAAATTTACTCAAAATAGCCGACTTTATTCAATGTACCTAAAAAGTCGGGAAACAAACTGAACACTAGTAATTAATTATAAACATAGTACAGAAGGTATCATTACACTCTGAATTTGATGGAAATAAACAGTTTGTTGTTGTTGTTATTGTTGTTGTGATCTTTAATCTATAAGGACCAAAGATATTACAAGATATTTATAAGTTAGCTTAAGAGAGGAACAAAAGTTGCAGAGTTGATTTAATAAAAATAAAGCGGTCGTTGCTGTTGTAGCCTATAAAGACCTAAACAATGAAAATAATAACAGAGAGTTACAAAATATAATGTATATATATAGGTTAAAGAGAATGAAGGGCTATACCCTTAATTTAATGAGAATAAAATAATTGTTTCTGTTGTAGCCCGCAAGAACTTATAACGTACAAAAGTAAGAAAGAATTAAGAGATATATATGAATTAGGCGAGACGTCCCAGAGCCATAATTCAATTATAGCCATTATCATTTTATTGTACCTATGATTTGGTGTTTTTTGTAAACATAATAGTTTATCTACTTAACTAAACATTACGTTAGACATCAGACTTTACATATTTCTAACAGTTAATGGATTTACATCTTAGAAGTGCAATTTAATATTTTGACAGCAAGAACCTTTTTTATCTTTCCAATACTTCACATATTTGTCTTCATCATTTGAGCGCGTATTTTCTAAGAACTACAATAATATTGAGCTTAATAATGAGTACAATAATAGAAATGGTATTGTAAGATCACAATAGGATATAACTCTATTTCATTACGAATGCTGTTTGCCACCTCAATATACCAACACCTATGATCATTACTCATTAGTTTCAGGGTTTAAGTGAACCGCGTCTTTTTGCGAGAGCTGCCATTTAGATTTGAACGCTGCTAGATATAATAACTGCTATTAACCATTACTGCTAGAAATGAAGTTTTAGATTCGTTTTCATATCACACATTCTGCTCTTAACAAAATTTCATATAATGAAATTACAGAATATTTTGGTTAAGACAAGTAGTATTACAGTTGGTTATGCATAGGCCTTATTGACCCTAATTTTTATTCAAGTTTAATGACATTTGAGTTACGTACACACTTATTTTCTTAATAAAATTTTTTGGAAGTGTTCGAAATGACTTACCTCATTATTGCACGTTTTTATCATCATCAAAGTAGGTTCATGCTGTTCCACTCGCACGTAAAATGTGGTCAATGAGCAACCATGCTCCTCTGTGGTATAAAGCAGTACTGGTTGGTACATTGTTATTCTAACAGGCAACCATGACCAGAGCGTGAAGAGCTAACAAAAGCAAATAATATAATTATTTATTATTATACTGTATATTATATACAAAAAAATTAATTAGATATATATAAGAGAAAACAATATGCTTAAATCAAAAATAATTTACATAAACACAGTCATTAGTTGTACATATATTAGATGCATATAGGAAGCTTACGTATATAAATAAAAAAGCAAAAGAGAAAGTTATACAGATTACATTTTTGTATCCTTCAAAATACTTTTCTCTCTCTCTCTCTCTATATATATATATATATATTTTTTTTCCTCTTACATTCTCTCGCTCTCTAATAACTACTTCTGTCTTATTGTTTATATTAAGTATTTTATAAATGTGGATATATGCTTTAAATATCTATATAAGTTAAGTATTATAATATTTCTCTGACAACATGATGAAATAGTTAGCTAATAATTTCAACTCTTTTTTAACTCATTGTTTTATAATTTTCTTTTGCTCTCTTTCTTACTGTCTTTTTGCCACTTTTTTATCTCATTCTTTGTGTCTTTATTTCATTCTATCTCATTCGCTTCTCTCTTTCTTCTCTTTCTCTCTTTCTTGAAACAAATTACAATAAAAGAGTTTATTAACAATAAATTAGATTTATTTCATAAACTTGTACTTGTACTTATAACGCATTCTCTTCTCTCTTTATATAAGCCTGTCTTACAATGTTTGTTAGAAGACAAATTTAGGAAGAAAGTATTTCGGAAAAATCTATAAGTTTAATTCAAGTCATGCCATCAAAACAAAATTAATAGACAAACATCAATTAAAAATTAATACGACCATGCAAATAATTAAGACTAGCTTAAGTGAGTATTGAATAGAATTGTTATTTAAGAGAGGCAGTAAGCTTCTCTTACGCTCTCTGAATACTACTTTTTGTTTGTGTAGGTAATTTTTTTTTGTATTTTGTGCGCTGTTGTATTGGATGTTTGTGTGAGATTTTGTTTAGGACTTTACTAATTAAAGTGCATTTTTGTAAAAAAAATATTCATTTTCAAATGTTGCTTTTTAAAAAACATTATTTAAAAAAAAAATACAAATTATAATATAAAATACTTATTTATTTTTTAAACAAATTCTAAATAATTATTAAACTTCAAATACTAAAAATTTTTTATAATTTTATAGAAAATAAGATATATATCGTAATTTTGTAAATAAAAAAAAAAAAAAAATTGGTAAATGTATATGACCTAAAACACTTCTTAGGGCCTACTAATATAACTTAGTAGTATTTGTATTCACAAATAAACAATTCAATTGTATTTTTAAAATGCAATTTTCAACCAGATTATCAACAATCGAAACTGATATCAACAAGTTTCTATACAAAATTACAAGATTGTATCGATATCGATAACATTTCCATATTTCTTGTGAAGTATACAAAACATTCTTTAGCAAACAGTTCTTCAGAAAATATTTTTATAAGTACTAATGCAAATAAACGTATAAAGGGTTGAAAAAAAAAGACAGATAATGTACTGCCATTATCCTACCATCATTATTCCCTTAAATGAAAAATTCATATTGGAACAATAAAGTGAAAATAAGATATATACATGAGAGGACATCGAAACGAATTGAAGACGGTCAAAGAGACAACGGTTTTGTGTCAATAAGTTTTAGAAACAAAACCCACAGGGAATTCCGAAAAAACGATAATAATAAATAAAAAAGAATTCAGAATCAATCCCATAATGTACAAGTATGTAAGGGAAGATATATTATTTTATATACCAAGAAAAATGAGAAACTATTATGTTTAAATGAGTTATAAATGTTGTGTTTAAGTTATGGGGATGAATCTATAAAATTAGAGGTCAAATTGGTTTAAATAAATAACTTTTCTTCGGGATATTGGTAAATATATGGTAAGTACGTAATGCAAAATATTTAAAAAAATACAGATCACTTGTATTAATCATCGTTTTGATTTTGAGGTCTTATACTCCACTGCGAGTTAATGGAACAAAGAAGAAGAAGATATTAAATATTAAACATTTCAACCCTATTTTGCAGAATATAGTAAAAAAGATATATTTAAATATTAATCTAAGCAGTATAACTTAAAATTGCCATAAAATTGATATGTTGTATAAAACCATACTACAGATATATATAGTTGTCACAAAGTAATAGTTTTTGATAGATGTGATACTTCTACATCAGAGAAGTTAAAGTATTTTTGTGTTGAAAAAATTTTTCAATATGAAAAGATTGTGACAGGGTCGTCGCAAGCAAACGAAGAAGTAGGACTTGTCCATAAAAAAACACATATTGTTATTACCGATAATAGTCATCTTTAGTACGAAAACAAATCAAGCTTAGATGTGGTAAATTTTGATAAAAATTTTTGGATAAAAAGTTTTAATTATACAAAACTTAAGACTGTAGGTACAACATTGACTTTGGAACAAAACAAAACGATTTTTTAAAAAACAAACTGTAGGAAGTTTAGTAGAGAAAGAGAATAAGATATCTATATGGAGCAAGAACTAAAGCCATATTAAAGAAAGTAAGGACACAATATTATAATAACAACTTAAAAGATCGAAATAGTGTTGAAAAAAGTATATGAGTAAGGGAATTTTATGATATATATCAAGTTAGTAAATCAAAAGCTTGCAGGAAACTCGTATATTAAATATAAAAGGCCTTACGGAGTTACTAAAATTATAACAAATCATCGTTGTTTGTTAATGGAGCGCCCTTGTATGCAAAGAAATATAGAAAGTAGTTAATATAAAGGCATAGATGTGTAAAAAACGGGATCATAAAAAGTCACCAATAGCAAATAACAATACAGAAATGTTGTTACATATAAGATAAATAAGATTGCTTACATATTATATACATATAACTCTTATAAGCTCTAGAGAAGAAAAAGTTATCTTTTTAGACTTTAAACTCTTTAAAAGTTGTGTGGTGGATTATTGAGTTATTGCGATTATTGAATAATCGATTAGTATGCTACAATGACAATAAATATAGTACAATTATGATGAGGATGTAAAATCATACAAATAATTTTTTTTTTAATTATTTAGAAAAATTAAAAATTTCATATCGAATACATAGTTATTTTTAAAATGAAAATCCAAATTAAAATGTTATATTATACAATAAAAATAGAGTCTCATAAAATAATATTAAATAAAATATACAAATATAAATATAACAATAAAAATTATATATATAAAAACGGTTCTTTGTTTTAATTATAATAATATTACAAAATTTATTGCAAAAAGCTAATTTCACATATTAAAAAAAAAATTTATTATTATAGTATTCTTTCATAAATATATATTTAAATATTAATTATTAAATCAGTTTCTAAAAGAACAACAATTATTATATTTAATTACATTTTTAAAAAAAACAAAGCATAAGCTAACAATATTTAAATATATATTTTTTACATATAAAATTATTTAAAGTAATAAAACCACAAAATTTAATTAAAATAATATCATAATTTAAACAACAACGGAATATGCATACTGAAAACTATAGTCAAAAAATTTATCTAAATTTAGTTTTTATTTTGAAGTGCAACACGATAAAGCAAATGTGTCTCGGATATGTGTTTCTCGGATATATAAAATTGTGATCAAAACTAAGCAGTACAAAATTTAATTATTCTTTTTTTAATTTCTACAAATTGCATACTTAACAAAAATCTTCACACTTACATCTTCGTTGGAACTAACTTGGCTTTTAATATTATGTATGGGATAAACGCCCATGGCGACGGCTCTATGACCAGGCGACTTTTCGCCCTACACAATCGCGCGATTTTTTTAGTATTATATTTTAATATATATTTACATTAAATAGATAAGAAATAGTTTTATAAAAAAACGAAAAATAAAAGAAGACATATAAAATAAATTTAAAATGAAATAATAAAAATAAAAATTACGAAAATCAAAGGCATAGTATATTTAAAAATTAATTTATAATTAAAAAAAAAAAATTATATTAAAAAAAAAATTAAAGTATTTTAAATTTAAAATATTATAATTTTATCATTTGTATGTAAATTAATAATACAATACAAATTTGATTTGCATATTAATTTATTATAAAAGTATATATTGATTTTATATTATGATTTAGGCAGCAATTTAAAAAGAGAAATAGAAAAACAATTTAAGAAAACAAATAATTATAAATATTATATATTGAATATATAAAAATAGATCTCTAGTATATAGTATTATATTTCGAACATATCGAAAACATATTTTTTGTTAATTATAATAATACATAAATATTTAAATTTACTATAAAAACAATCTCGATACTGACAAAAACAAATAATATTTATATACATTTCACACAAACTTCATTAAAATTGAATAGAGTGATTATCTTATTTTTTAATGCATAAAATATTTTTCAAAAAATAATATTTTAATAAAATATAATAAAAAATATTTTAAACATAATTATTTTTTATTGATATATTTTTCAATTAATATAAAATAATTATATATGTATTTAAAATAACATAACAAACAAAACAGTTATTTACCATACGAGATTTTACAGAAAGTTTTTTATAGAGGTCAGTATATAATAGGATTTTAAATAGAATCAGAACCGTTAGGTGTCTTAAGGACAGAGGGACAGGACATATCACTCTGGCGCAACAAAGACAAGAACGGCCGGAGCCACGTGTCCAACTGCCTTCGGCGACCAACTGCCTTTCACCATTCCCCAAATGGAGTTCACAATACCTGCCGGGTACAACAACAGAAGCTAAAGTTAGAGTTAAAAATATTCAATCATAATAGTCTATTGGCGACAATATTGTTCGGTATTATTTAATCACACTTTAAAGGGTATTAGAAAAGTGTGGTGTTTTGCAACCGGACGCCGTGCCTCTTTATTTTATAAAGATATATAAAAATATATATACATTTGACAATATGAACTGTCAATGAATGTCAAATGAATAGCAGCTCTAATTTTTTGTATGAATTTGTCTACGATATAATAGTTTTGGGAGAATAATGATTATTATTGTTATTGTAATGGCTATACTGGTTTTGAGGGAAAAGCAATAGTAGATCTTTAAATGTGACCTTTTTGTAGTGTAGAACATAACAGAAATAGAACAGAAATACAATATAAGTAAGTAAGTAGTCAAAATCCAATCGATATTTTTTTTTTACAAATTCTATGAAATAATATTTCGGATACAATTTTATGGAGAGCCATGGTTCTATAATTATTCACCGCTTGGTAACGCTCATGGTGTAGTTTGATTGAACTTAAATAAGAAGTAATATTTAAGTTTAAGTAAGGGAAAGAATTAAGATTCAATATGAATTAAATTTAATAATGTAATTTAATAACATTTAAGGAGTAGATAACAGTCGATATGACGGCACACGGTTCTAACAGCTGGCGACAGCAAACTACAGATCTGGCTAGTTGAAGAAGGCTGCTGAACGCAGCCAACTTAATAAGTAATTAACGTTTAAATTAAAAAAATATATAAATTTATTCAAACTGTAGTAACTCATAAATTATGCATTCTTTGCATTATACAAGAAATACTATTTTCATATATAATTTCTATTTTATATATAGTATATTTGAATAAAAAGAATGTTTGGTAATTAATATTATTTAAATAATTAATTTTTATTATTATTAATTATTTTTATTATTAATTTTTATTATTATTATTTATAATTTTTATAAATTAACTTAATAAGTAATTAACGTTTAAATTAAAAAAGTATATAAATTTATTCAAACTGTAGTAAATTATAAATTATACATTCTTTGCACTATACAAAAAATACTATTTTCATATAATTTCTATTTTATATATAGTATATTTGAATAAAAAGAATGTTTGGTAATTAATATTATTTAAATAATTAATTTTTATTATTATTAATTATTTTTATTATTAATTTTTATTATTATTATTTATAATTTTTATAATTTTTTATTATTATTAATTATTTTTATTATTATTTTTTATTATTATTATAATTATTATTAATTATTTTTATTATTAATTTTTATATATATCAATAAAAAACTGGTATTTATAATTTTAACAGTTTTTTAAATAACTTGTTACACATTAATAAAAAAAAATTTTTTGAAAAATATTTTATACAATTGAATAAAATCGTTATATGTTTAAAACTAGCAAACGAAAATTCTACAACTTTATTTAATTTGATGTATTAGATATTTTTTATATAATTTATGTATATTAAATATACATATCAAACTTTAATTAATAGATTTTAATGATTTAAAAATAATTGATTAGTGTTTTCAAGCCTTTAATTTTATTAATAATCTTCTATTGACAATTTATTTCTCCTTTATAATTAATATCTTTTTTATATTCAAGTATTTAAATATAAAATATTATAATATTAAAATTATTATAATTCAAGTTTTAAACATATAACGCACATAACATATACATCATCAATAGAAATATACACGTACATTTAAATAAATAACTTTAATAGGAAAATATATTAAATATAAAAATAAATATTAATATTAATTAGCCTCACATACAAAACTCAGAGTAAAATCAAAATACTGAAGCAGTTATACTTGATCTATATAATTATAAATAAAAATAAATAATAATAATAGAAAAAAGCATTTACTAATTTGTTAGTAGAAAGTTAAGGATAGTCTTATAAATATACAAAAAAGTGTAAAAGAAAGCAGTGAACTTCAGCGAATCACAGAACAAATAAGGAGTTATAATTTTTCATCACTCAATATTAGAAAATAGAAATCAATCAGTCAGTAGTAAAAAAAGAAACAAACAATAAACTGAGAACAGAGAAAATGTTTGAAAAATAAATTTTAATTATTATATATTTAAATAAGCATTATCGACTTAAAAACTAATAAATACATCTTTATATGTACAAGCCCCATACCAAATTGCGACAGGTCTCGGTGTACACCTTCTGAAATGTTATGGACACATTTCAAGAGAAAAAATACCAAGAAAAATATAAAACGAAAAATATTTAAATATGAGTGAGTGTTTATGTGACATATATATATTTTTTTTTTGTTGTATAGAAATCAATACTACAGCTTAAAATTAAAACTTCTTAGGTATTAACAATTATGAGTTAGTCACGAAAATAAGAGGAAGAAAATTAAGAAGGATATTTGATCAAAAATATATATATAAAAATTTTAAATGAAAATTTATCGTACAAAAATGGAACCTCAGTTAAATTACTAATAGAGTAATTGCAAAATAACATAATTAATAATTTTTATTTTTACAAAAATACAAAACGAAAAAAAAAAAATATATAACGAAAATTTAAAAAGAAAAAAAATTAAAACAATTAATTGAATAAAAAATATTTAGTAATTTTAAATTGGTTAAAATTTTCGAGATTGTTAATAATTAATATACAAAAATTATTCATTTTATAAATGAATATAAGACAAAAGTAAATAAATAAATTGGGTTAAAATTTATAACTTATATGTTTATTCCAATTCAATTAAATTATTTTATAACAAAGAATTTTGCATTTAACTATATAAAACTTAATTATTATATTTATATATTGTATAAATGTTGCTTATAGCAAAAAAGTCTAAGCGGCGAGTAATAAATCTAAAATAATCCTGAAGTCCAATAATATTATTTACTAAATAAAAATATTTACGGATATGATCTAGTTAATCAAATACATCAAATCGTGGACTTTCTATGTGAATTTAAGAATTTCTGTATTAGATTATACATCTATAAAGTTCATGATCTAGTTAATCAAATTCATCATATCGTTCACTGTGTATTTCTCTCACAAAAGTATCTAAAATTTTTGTATTAGATTATGTGATCATAAAGTTCATTATCTAGTTAATCAAATACATCAAATCGTGGACTTTCTATGTCTTTTACAAAAGAATTCAAGATTTTCTCTATTAGATTATGTGATCTATAAAGTTCATGATCTAGTTAATCCAATTTATCTAATTGATGACTTTCTATGTCTCTCACAAAAATATCTAAAATTTTTATATTAAATTATGTGGTCTATAAAGTTCATGATCTAGTTAATCAAATTTATCTAATCGATGACTTATTATGTCTCTTACAAAAGGATCTTAAATATTTAATTAGATTATGTGGTCTATGTCTCTCGCAAAAGGATCCAAAATTTTTGTATTAGATTATGTGGTCTATAAAGTTCATGATCTAGTTAATCCAACTTATTTAATCGATGACTTTCTATGTCTCTCACAAAAGTATCTAAAATTTTTTTATTAGATTATGTGATCATAAAGTTCATATCTAGTTAACCAAATTTAACAAATCGTTGACTTTCTATGTCTCTCACAAAAGTATTCAAGATTTTCTCTATTAGATTATGTGATCTATAAAGTTCATGATCTAGGTAATCCAATTTATCTAATTGATGACTTTCTATGTCTCTGACAAAAATATTTAAAATTTTTATATTAAATTATGTGGTCTATGAAGTTCATGATCTAGTTAATCCAATTTATCTAATCGAAAGTCATTGATGTCTCTCGTAAATGGATCCAAAATTTTTGTATTAAATTATGTGATGTATAAAGTTGAATATGCGAAATATTACATGTATAAATCTACAGATCTCTTATGGTCCCTTACGTTAACCCAAAACTTTTGTTAAAAGATGTTCTCTTTCCCAGTGGTTTGATTTTACTATCAAGTAGAAAAGATTTCTTTGATTTGTATGTTCTTGATTCAAGAAGTGCCTACATTACTTTGATCAATGTTTGCTTCAAGAATTTTGTGAGAACTTCTTTGTATTACTTTAAGAACTATTAGACTAGTTTACTAACATACTTCTTCTATGGGACTTTATATTTGCATTTTCAAGCTATTTAATTAATCTCTACTCCCAATATTTTGGCCTATAAAAATAAGTGACATGTAGTTGCGTAAAGAATTATACAATTTTTTTATAAAAAGTTTAGGTCAATATAGCAATAAAAGCATGAAGAACGAAGATTGATAGATAGAACACTTAAAAGATTAAAATCGGCTTATATGTTTACATGATTACCTATCTAGATCAAAATAAAATATTTCTTTGATATTAGAAATTAACAACACCGAAAGAATATAATGTTCTAACCGTAAATTGATTAATAATGCAGGAATTAACAAAGCAATGGAATCAGAAATATAAAATAAATTTATCAAAAGATGAATAGAATACCACATACTGTCTAATTAAGATAACCTTATATACATAATAGCTTCTTGTCTTTACTAAAATAATATATTTGTTAGATATTCGGGAAAAAAACTTCAATTGACTATATGAAAGAAGTACCAAACGAATAGAGGTATAATATATTGTTGAATGAATGTCATGTTATAATACATTAATGAATACAATTATCTTTGATATAACTATATAACATTATAAGAAAAAGCAGTTGATTTGTTTTGAAGTTGTAGTGAAAATGTTCTATACAGATCAAAAATTGATAGTATTTTTCGTAAAATCATCAATTTATCTTAACTAGATAGTTGAGATGTAATATATGTATAAATATTGAGTTTATAAGAACACATAGTCTTGCGACAGAACACCATTTTTTAAACTTGCAAAAAGTTTCAGAATCGATGTTAAGGGAAAAAATTGAATCAGTTGAGATAACTAGAAACAAGATCATATTTTATACCAATATGGAATTTTTAATATAGAATATACCGTATTAAATATAGTAATTTAAAAAAAGAACGCCACAAACACTCCTTTTTCGACTATAAGCAACACATTATAATTGTTATTTGATTATTTTGATTAGTAATATAGTAATATATAAATAACAAGACAAAAAAGGTATCTCACCTCTCTAATAGTCAATGTGTGTGACATCATTTGTATATTGACTTGGGATTGACTTGTTGGTAAATTATCGCTGGAACGGGATTTAACCAATTGTTTCGAACCGCCGCTATTCAGTACGGAACGGCTTTTTAGTAACATTTCAGTCTTCAAGAATATTCTAGAAATATATGTGGAACTACACATACAAAATAAAAAAAGAAAATAATATTAATACATTTGTAGGAGATTAAAAAATATAGAATATCTTACCTGAGTCCCCTAATACTAAAAGCGGCATGCAATAGCTTCGCCGGTGAAACTGGGATTTTCTTGCAGAATTTTATTAGCGAATTGCCAATATCATTCTTAATATTATCTGGACTATATTCGTTGTTCACTTGGCATTCCTTATAGAAGAGATTAATAATAACGAGCGCAACACGATACATAACCTTGATGCCTTCATGAAAGAAACAATCCATAATGCGCACCAAATGCTGAAAAGGTAAACCAGCTAAAATCCACCAGCACCAATCCATGAAGACACGTTCAAGTTTTAGTCCGGGACATATGCGTTGAAAATATGTTAAAGCATTTTTCTATTCAAAATTAAAAGAGACAAGTTAAGAACTTAATCTATAATATATATTTAAAGTAAATAAGATTTTCACTTACGGTGTGTTTCTTAGCAATTTGCATGACAGTTTTCCAAGTGACTTCATGCAATAATTTTGTTTGATTTATAAAAACTTTCTCCTTACTGCCCACCAATGAAGCCAGACAATGATAAGCCTCCTCCTCTGTTTTCAAAAGAAATGAAAATAAGTTTTTTTTTCCAAAAATTATTCAACATTTTTTACAAAGATATACATATTTGTATATGTGATTCCATATGTCATTGGAAATTCAATTGACCCAAATAAATCGAATTCAATATTTGCGAGCACCGAATATATTCAAATTAGAGACATATTTACTTTAAATCACATGAAATTTTTTGAACAATTGCCAAATAATAGAAACAATAAGTATGGTGTAAACTTTTGAAAATATTTACATAGAGCATATATGACGGTCAAATTACAAAGAACAAAATCTAAACAAAGCAAGACACTGGGATCCCATTTCAACTAATAAACTTCTATATTAAACTTAAAAAAAAGTTATACAAACAATCTTATGTATCAAAATAACGCTTTAAATTTAGTATATATCCTAAATTGTGCTAGTTGAATGCATTTTAAAACTCTCAGCAAACACTATTTTCAATCAATTATACACGATACAATTTACAATGTTTGCAAAATACAAGATAGAGTAAATACACATGGACACATTAAAGCATCATGTTATTATTATTTATTACTTATTATATTTGTTTATTATTTGTTTACTAAATAATTCCTCTCAATCAGTGCTCTGTCGCACTTTCAACTTTTTTTTAGCAATTAATTATTTTTTCAATACCTATTTATTTCACATTTCTTTTTAATAGCTACCACTTATAGAATCACGTTCCTACAACATGCATAATCTGTTTTTGCCGTAACAATCAGACATCTTTAAAGTGTCTATTAAAGTTCCATATATTATTCTTTAGATCTCCCTCACGGTCTGGCCGTCATATAGTTCGAGCATATGCTAGTCTACTTATTAAGCAGAAATAATCACATAATTATTAAATTTTTTTAATTATTTCTTTTATTATTTCTAATTCCGAATCTGATAATAAAAATGACCTATTTGAACATTGTGCGGTCGTGGCAGAGAGGAAGGTTCAGAATAGAAAAAAAGAAAAATTTTTTTGAAAAAAATTACTATGACCTCCACTATCAGTTATAATACATATAAGTACATCTGCTTATCACATGAAAGTAAACTAATGTTTTTTTCTGCATTATAATTATCTGTATTTGGTACACTATAATCGGCAAGTTGTAGAACAAAGCAAATATATTATATTATATATCTATATATTAGTTGTATGAATAATCTATTTTTGTTAATTGTAAGCTAAATTGTTTAAAATTCAATATTTATTTAATATAACTAACTTAAATACAATATCATTAAATATAGAGGTTGGAATATTTAAAAAATATATCTGTGTTATGTGAATACTAATAATATATAATATTATTATAATAATTTTAAATTTTTATCATTTATTATATATAACGTTTCTCCACACCTTCCTCTACTTGATTTTATTATAATTTAGAAACAAAATTACCTTTACTATAATAAAATTTTATAGATTTATTACCTATATAAAAATGAAACGATTTGTACTTAATTAACACTTAAATATATATTAGCTCATCGAGAACAATGTATCTACAGTAAGCACTAATATGATTAGTTTATTAAAGATATCAGTATTAATCAAATTGATTTATAACAGTAATGGAAAATCTTTTAAAGCTATGTGATGCTATTGAAATCTATAACGCATTATTTTAGATTCCGAAGATTTCTCCAAGATTGAAATCCATGAAATCTAGTGTTTTAGAGGTCGAAGTCAGTTGATTTTTCAAAGGACCGAGTGCCAGTCACTCATTCTTCGGAAAATTAAAAAAGTTATAATGTTATGAGTTTTAATTTAATAGCAATTTTTGTAAGATACTGAAGAATTTTCTGGTATTCATTAAGGTATACACAAAATTTTTTTTTTTTGAAAATTCGGTTGACGGCGCCCCCAAGATCGGTTCAGTTTACTAAAAAAAATATGCTAGAGAGATTATCTTATAGTATATATATATATATATATATATTTCTAATACCTGTAGTCTTGAGGTGTACTCTCTCTTATCATTTCCAAATATTCTTAACTAGTTGATAATAAATTTTGGTTATTATATGTAAATTCGTTTCTCCTTGAAGGTGTACTAGAGAAATCATCTCACAGTATCTTCTAATATCCAAGTCTCTTTTTTTTAGTGTTTAATGTCTCTAAACACTGAAACTTTCAATCAAACTTCATTATTCGTTACTGATCGACAATAATTCTTTTGTTTGGGTTTTGTAGATTATTTTTAAATAAACAAAATTCAGTCAGAAATGATAAAGACTATCTAATGTGTGACAAATTGTCTGTTTTTAATTCATTGTAATGATCATGTTTATTTACCTCTGAACACAATAAATAATAATTAAATTAAAATTATTTTTTTTTTCAAATTCAAATTCAAATTCAACTTCAAACAAACCTATTTATTTATATTATTAATACTATGCTTTTATTCCCCGATTTCATGTAATATTTTACCTCTTTTTATGTTATTATTGTAATTTATAATAATTTATATATTTTAATTGTTAAATAAACTTTTTCATAAGTGAAATTTGTCGCACATGATATATTCCTCTATAATTTCATGATAACGCTAATTTTTTATAACGCTTTTTATATATATGTACATGCAAAAATCGCTGAGGTATAAATCATTTATTGATATTTTTCATTTTCACCTAAGTAATCATATTTTCATGTCAATTTAATTTGTACTTAAATTACTTGACCATTAAATCATAAAACTAAATATTTGATTTAGAGTAGATTACACTTATTGTACTTACGTACATAAATCATCTGATTATATATATACATATATATATATATATATTATATATATAAATGTGTTAATAATATTAAAATTATTATTATTATTATTGTATTACTAACATAAAAAAGTAGCGTTCATATAAATAAAAATTTAATTTATTGCCTTGCCTTATCGAAGTGATCTTTTAATAGATTAAAGATTGAGACATGTGAATGTAGGGAAATAAAAACTATTTAATGAATAAAAAACGTTATAATTAGAAGGAGAAAAAGAAGAATAAGGATTTATATATAACACATCATGCTTGATTTTTATAAAAGTTTTAAAATAATTGATGTATTTAAATAAATCAAGTTCATCTCAACATTTATAGAATATAAACTATTTGATTGGTTGGTTGCAGTGGTAGGTCATTAGATAACTGCCATGTACTTCAATAACCGATTTTTCACCATTTTGCTACCACATTTCTCGCAAGAATATTTCTATCATAGAAGAGTATAAACGAAATCCATCCCGCCGAATTTATATCATATAATAAGTCTTTTGGCTTCACCCATGAACAGTGCGATAAACTGTCAAAGAAGTATTTTCCTAAAATCCTATTTCTTCTGGATGCCAAAGCCAGACATTCATAAAGTAAATGTGTTATGGTTTCTTTTTGCTGTGGATTTCCACAACTTGTGCAGTGAGGATTATGTAGACACCAATTACCAGAAAAAACATCAGTAAACTTTGCAGTGTTCACGTTGTCTCTTTTAATGAGTTCTTAGGATATAGTTTTATTATAGGTGGGAATATTCGATTGAGTATATATATTATTTAATTTTTCTTAATAGGTATATTATTAATATTATTAAAAAACATAAAAAGAAATATAAAAAAATTAAAGAAATACTCAAAAAGAAATGAACTAAACTTTGCTATATCCCACTAAAATAATTCAGTTGTTCGTCTTTGTAAAATGAACTGGATTAACTTTTTAATTCAATGTAATATTTTGTGTAATCTTAAATATGCTATTTAAATGGAGTAGTGTTAACTAATATATTTGACTAAACTAGTTCAAAAGAACTACAATACTAGATGTGTTACATTTTTTTTGGTATTATATTATTATTATTTCCATACTCCATTAGGAACTTAACGAGTCTACAAAAGTTTTGGACTGCTTTCTATTTTGTGCTATTAATCTCAACTTGTTAAACGATTTGCCTGCCTCCTGCTGAACTGTTCTTCTCCAGATCATTGGTATTATAATTTGAATATATTGCTCTTATTTAAAAATAAAAATAATAATTCTTCTGCATAGTTTACAAAACAGTTTCTAATCAAATGACTATCCGTTCAACTGTAAATATTTTAAAAATTAAATTAAAAATTTTAGTTGATTAATCGATTAAATGGTTATCAAATTTTAAGTGATGAAGCACTCTTTGGATTAGGAAATCCCAAAATATTTTTATTTTAATTATATAAATAACAATATTAAGTAATTTATATAAAAATAGTATTCAAATAATTAAACCATAATCTAATTCGTATTTAAGAGCTTGAGTTACTATTATAAATCAATTATACAATTCAACCGATTTAATCATTAAATAAACTAAATAAAGTATCTAATCGCTTTTTTCAATTTTTATAAAAAAAAATAAATTTCTACAAATGATTAAATTAAATTATTTAGATTTACTGGATTCCTCGAAAGCGGTTTCTTCAAGAAATGCTAATTACTAGTTAGTTGTGAAGTTATGAGTTCCTTGAATTCAGTAGTATATTATATTGAAAATCAAAAGTATATGATCTCATTAAAAAGTAACAAACTATGTTTATATGTATTTTAGACATACTTAACCAGTGCTATTTTTAAGATACTATTTTTGCTTTTGAGTTCATATCAGTGCCATTACAAAACAATAATTAAAATGTAATTAGAAATATTTTTTATTACTTTTTATCGTTAATAACCTAAATAATGACAAAGATTTTAATGCAAACAGTAAACTACAATAAATTTAACAATAATTGCAAATTGATGAACGATAAAATTTATAGAAGCACTTCAAGTGCAATCTTTTTTTTCTGTAATAATTATATTACTTTTAAGGCAATCAAATGTGATTTATAGAGGTTTTCCATATATTTGCTGTACACTTTAATATTTCGAATTCGCTATTGCTATTGCTATTGTTATTGTTATTGTTATTATCTTTCAGAAAAGTGACAATGGA